GACCAGGGCGGAAAAGCGGGGCTGGGCCCTGGCTGGGCTACCCGAGGGTAGGGGCTTGGCTTGTTGAGGACCCCGCCCGGCCCCGGCTGATCCGCTGAGGCCTCCCGGCTGGGGCCCCGGGACCGGGTGGGGGTTGGCGAGGGACACAGACAGGTAACCAGAGAGCCCCGTTAAGAGCCTGGGGCGGCTAGGGGGACACTTACACATTCACAGGAAGGTGCACAAGGTGAAAAGAGTTCCCAGGACTTTGAAATCCAGTGGGCAGGTAACTAGAGTTGTAGAAAGGTTTTAAAGGAAAATGAAAATAACCTGGGTTGACAGTTGGAATTTGGAGAGGATGACGGCGAGGAGCTGTATCCTCTATGCCTGGCTCGGCTTTTACCTGGCTGGAGCGGTGTGTCCGGACTCCAGGCCTGAGTACCGCCCGAGAGTGCAGGCCCTGGAGGTGACCACTGGCCAGTGCCACCTGGCAGAGCGGGCAGAACCGTGAGAGAACAGATTGGGGGTGTTAGGATGTGAGCCGTGAGACTCAACCTCACCTCCCACGGGGAAGGAGCCTCAGAGCTGAGACACCCCCCCCGCCCCCTGGGGTGCGCAGCTGGGGGAGGCCGTAGCATTCTGCAGTCCTCAAGGGGCGGGGCTTTGCGACCTTCCAGCTCCCGTTGGCTTTGGAACCGTGCCACCCCTTTTGGAGTGGGAAACCGCTGCAGCCCCTTGGGCCCCCAGCCCCAGGGTCTGGGGGGGAGGATCCTCTAGCCTGGGTGAAAGCGGGTGGAGGGAAGGCCTGTCACCCCCACAAGAGGTTTTCCAAGCAGCGACCAGCGAGGGTCTCTTTCGGCAGCCTTAATTCCAGGCTGTGTGCAGAAGGTGTGGCCGCCCCAGCGCGTGCGCACAGCTTTAGGAGCAGAGGGCTCTGGCACTTCGTGTGAGATGTGTAGATATCACACATGGCCGGTTTTGCTCAAAGCCGCTGTGAAAGACGTCTTTCCTTCCCATTGGTGACAGTTTGAAGGAACGCTCTCAACCCAAGAAGCAGAGTTGCTTTGGGTCCTTCCAGTGGCAGTTCCTTTGGGGAAATGTGTAAAGGGCGGAAGAAAAGCCCATCCCCAAGTGTAACTTGCCCAGGACCCCCACACTGTGCCTGGATTTGGACTTGGACTTCACCGAAACTTAGGGTAGGAGTTCAGGCTCAAGAAGGCAGGGCGAGCACCTGAGCCCACAGTGCCAGGTGGAAGGTTGGGATGTGGATGGGAGGGGATCCTGAAGGGAGGGAGGGGAGCCGCAGAACCCCTGGAGTGAATATTTTGCAACAGGGCTTTAAATAGGGTGGGTTGGGTTTAAATAAACAAAATTCAAATGCTACACGAATGGATTCGGGTGTGGGCATGCTTTCCTGGAACCAGACACCTGTGGGCTGCCCAGTAACCACAGGGACTGCCCTTCATGATTTCCTGGTCCTGGGGCAGGGCCAGGAGCTCACAGGTGGAAGTCACTGAGGGAGGCCTGTGAAGGGACAAGGGACGAGACAGTCCTGTGCACGGCCAGGGCACAAGCAAGCCCGAGCCCAACCGGCTTTTTTGTGGTTTTCAGGACAAGGCACAGACAGTAAAGAGGTGATAACGAGCAAATTTAGGGAGGGCTGGGCCTGGGGGTGTCTGCTTCTGCCCATGAAGGTCACCACGGTGTTGGCTTCATGCTAACACTGAGCCCACACCCCTCTCCGTGCTCTCTCCTGAGCACACATGCTGAGGCCACCGTGTTCAAGGGGAGATGGAGCGGAATTAAAACAGGCTGCAACTTGTGGCTGGGTAGTTCAGTCACAACCTCAGAACCGAAACGTGGCTCAGTGGGACAGCACTTGCCTAGCCTGCATGAGGCCCTGGGTTCCATCCCCTGCACTGAAAAATAAAATTACCTATCAGAAATGGCTGGTGCAGCCAGGCTTGGTGGCGCACTCCTGTAATCCCAGCACTTGGGAGGCTGAGGCAGAAGGATCGCTGTGATCGAGACCAG